GGTTTGCGCAATCATTGCGAGATCCCTTCTTAAAAATTGGAACGATCAGTGATTCACCCCAGGACGATGGAATGCGCTCGTGTAACCAGATGTTACGCATCAAATCAGTAATGGAGTCTGGGTCATTACAAAGTTATTAGTATAATAATTAATGTAGACAAAGCCTCTAATTTAGTTTTAAACAAAGGAACGGTCACCCCGAGGGACAGGGGCAGCTTTACTGTGCATCGTAGCGGAGGACATTAAATCAATGGTTCAGGCAATCTTACATGAACTGGGCATCTATCGACAAGTAAGGTTGATAACTAGAGGAAGGTCCAGGGTCGGAAATATTTGATTGAATGGTTATTAATTGCAACAGAATTTTTGAAACAGTTCGAAAAGCTCACTCGAAGGCAATTCCTGAGTACTAGTTCCGATGGATCCGCGGACTTGGAGATTACGATGCCCGGAGAGTCGATCAAAAATAAGTCCTTATCAATCCGTACTCGTTGACATTGTCTGGAAAATGGAAGATTTAAAGAAACAAGCTACCGAGTCATGCCAGGTACGTTCCCACTAGCACACACCTTCTGACGTTTCAAGGTGTTAATGATGGCACTTTTCCCCGTGTTGGGAAATCCAACAACGCCAACAGTCAAACAGCTAGCACGATTTTCTCCTTGTGATGGTTTCTTGGATCCGCTGCGTGCATAATTCGCCAAGAGCGAAAGCAGGTCCTCAACGCCAACACCTTTGTTAAATCTGTATGTTTGTCCGTATGAAGATGCACTGGTGCTTACTTCGTAGTTTTTTCAGATATGATTTCATCTACCTTCCAAATTCGTTTGTCATGACCCAAATTTTTATTCTGCTGTTGAGTATTGGCCTTGAACGGCAAAACGGGAAACGACTGTCTCAAATAGGTCAACCAGGACTGAAGATTTGCTTTAGGAATAAGGTCTGATGGAATAACGATGAATGAACGAAAGGCTTACCAATTTTATTCAAAATAATCACTAGGCGTTTTTTTGCTGATAGTACTTTCTGTTCGGTTTCTACCGATCGTGTGCCCAAGGGATCTCTAGCATCTAGGACCTCAAGGATTACATCCGCTTCCATGATAACTTTATCTGCTTCCCGCTGAAGAGCAGAGCTGATGGGTGTACTCATTTCTTTTTCCGTCTGACCGGACTTGGCGTGCATCAAGTTGTACATGTGGACCTCATGTGCCTATATATGTAAAAACGATGGGCACTAGCCTAAAAATATACCTGTTTCTTAAATTCCTCCACATGTTTGAAAACATCTTCTTTAAAAGGAAAGTTGTTGGGAATGCCGGGATCTTTTCCTAAAAAGCTTGATCAGATATAAGGAGATTCAAACTTTTGTGTTGATTGATGTTTTTCTTCGCCTCTTTACGCACTTTTCGGTGATGTTCACGAACCTAAGACTTAAAGAATAGAATAAATATTCTTACCTTTTTCAAAATTTTATACCGTTTGTGGCATGTGATCCGCTTGCTTTTGACCTCTGAATTTTAATAACATAAGCGGTTCTAAACTTACTGATTCGTTTCTTGGCCATCGATTACAAAACTGATCTGAGTGATCTGGTAATACCTGTGGGGTAAGATTTATTCATTTTAAATAAGGTACAGGATAATTCCTATGGAGAAGAACAAATACTCGACACAATTTATGAGCCAGTGAATAAATACAATCAGTGGAGCAATGAACAATTTTACCCAGCTAGCGATAGACAAACGAATTTTACTTTACTGGTTCCATCCTTCCTTAGTATTTAAAGAATACGATGTGAGACTTAGGTGGTCAATTAATATGAAGGCGTAGCGAACAGGAGTGCTGGGTGATGTCCGAACCGAGTGATTGTACTTGAAATTCGTATTACAAGAGGATTGCCACACTAGGGTTCACATAGGATCTGGAATTGAAGTTTAACGGCACGGTCCATTTCGATGGAGTGAGGGAAGATTGGGATGTTGAAAGCAGTACCAAAGTAAAATGGAGATTTCTGGTAGACCGCTTTCAGATTGAGGAAGACAGAATTGGCGAATCTACAAAAAGAATGTTGGTGCTCCAGATTTTCGCCATGGGTAAAAATATGGTCCATACAATCTTGATTAAGTTTAAAACCAGCCCGATTCTCAGGCATGCACTATCTAAGTTATCTGGGGGAATGTTACTAGTCGGAAGAAGGAGCATCCGGAGGGGGTTAGGCATAGAAGATAAAGAGTTAAACAGATGTTGGAAACTCTGATCAGTAGCCCCGGTCGTGAATCATACTCTTTGTCTATTGCATATCGCTGTATTCATAATATCTTTCTTATACGTTTTAGCCTATATACCAGAGTTTTTAGACGAATAAAGCCTTCCATCTCCGGGATTTCAGTCTTCTCTATCTCGAGCAACTACCGACTGTTGTGGTCTCCTCGTATTTAGAAAATAACAATTTATTCGTCTAACAATAGATCGGCCTTATCGACCAGAACGCTCCGATGCGGATCCTAGTTGTCCCTCAGCTGCGAAAGTCTGAAAT